GGATCAGAATCAAAATCAGAATCAGAACCAGAACCGGCAATCAAACGGCGATCGCCATTGCTGACGGAGCTCGCCGGCTTACCGGGAGGACGAAGAAGAAGCAGGAGAGAACGAAGCGGCGATCCATGGCGGCGAACGACGGTGGATGGATCTGAGGAGGAGAGGGGAGGAGAGTGGGTGGGTGAGGAGTTATCAAGGGATGAGTGGGGCAGACGACGGCGACCGCCGATATTTCTGCGTGAGGTTTCCATTTTTCTATCGGCCGCGCCAGCGCCCCCCTTAACAAGTGGCGGTCGCATCTCTCTCTCTCTCTCTCTCTCTCTCTCTTCTTTGGACGAGAACGGTGTCGACATGTGGTCCGCATGAGATCAGATGCCAGCGCACGCGGTGACTGAATGGAGCCGTCTGGGGATGTTCACCGACGTAAAACTGCTGGAAAAATATTCATACCTCTCTCTCTCTCTCTCTCTACGTCTCTCTATCTCTGAGGGAGATGGAGGACGATGGATTATTTTACGTAGAGACATTTCTGTGTCTCCATAGACAAGCTGATATCAAAATCTCATTGATGCTGTGACTCTCTCTCTCTCTGAGTTGGACAGAAAGAAATAGAGAGAAGGGAAGAGAGAGAGAGAGAGAGAGAGGTTGTTTTACATTGATAATCTTGTAGCCAATTCTTCGTGTCACCATAGACGATGCTATCTGATGGTCCCTTATGGTGAGATTCTCTCCCTCAACCCCTTATTTATGTATCCCTCTATCCTAGAGAGAGAAATAAGAGATATATGTAACGTGAATATTGTGGCCTTGTCTCTGGTTCATCAATGAGACAATGCTGCGAGTTCCTCTCTCTCTCTCTCTCTCTCTCTCTCTCTCTCTCTCTCTCTCTCGGATAGATAAACACAAAGGCAGAGATGGAGAAAAGGCGCACCGTGTGTATCTCTACGGACACGTGTCTGTAAGAGAGAGAGAGAGAGAGGTCCGGAGGCTTAAAATGTGAATCTCGCACCCTTCTGTCCATCTCACAAGGCACAAAGGCCCCCAAAACTCTACACGCAGACTGAGACACCCTCTCTCCCTCTCTATACCCACATATCTATCTTAGAGAACGAGATAGAGAGAGAAGATGAACATTTACCATGAGAGTATTTTCGTCTTACCTTCAGTTCCCCATATTCCCCATAACCAAAACTAGGCCATAATCTCTCTCTTTCTCTCTTTCTCTCTCTCTTTATCCATCAATGTATCTATTATGTGAATATTTCCTTATGGGTAAAATTGTAGAGAGAGAGAGAAATAGAAAGGGTAAACATAGAATATATGCATATTTTGTCGTTCATTAAACAGAAAGCGATACCAATCTCTAAAAAAATATATATGCCACTCTCTCTCTATAGTATGCTTGCTTCTCTCTCTCTCTCTCTTAGAGAAAGAGGCAGAGCAATAAAGAGTTATTTTAGAGCTTTAAAACGTGGCTATTGTATCTGCTTACTTCATTTCTCCATTCATAACATACTTTCAAGGTTCTCTCTCTCTCTCTCTCTCTCTCTACATAAATATATACACGATAGATGGTGGGAAATAATTAATTTTTTGTATAGGTTTTATAAATAAATTAATTCATAAACATATAGTTTTTTTATAGCCAACATGGCCAAAAGGTACTTGTAGCCAAATTATTTGCTACGAAAAATATTTTTATTTTATTTATTATAATAAAATTATTTAATACTAACCGGTAAACAGATGTCAATGTAATTTATGCGCCTATCTACGTCGAAAATAAATGTTATCCGGATAAAATAAATAAATTAAATGGGAAATTAGTATTGGAATTGGGCCAACTGCGGTTCAATACTAGTTTCCGTAAATGGTCTGGGTTATGATCTCTATGTTCGGCCCATTTACTTTTTCACTGTGAAGAGGGAGGAATTCTGTCTGTCGTGTAATAGGAAACCCCGACGCGACCAAAATCTTCGGAAGCATCGAAGCTTCCCCGCCGCCGCCGCCGCCGCCGCCGCCGCCGCCGCAACCTCCTCTGCCCCCGCCACCGCTCGCCGGAAGAGTGAGTGAGGGATGACGGCAGCGCAAAGCTGAAACCTCTTCTACTTCTCAGCCTCTCTCTCTCTCTCTCTCTCTCTCTCTCTCTCTGAGCTTGTGAGCCGGTCGACATCTCGGTGGAGAAATGAGCCTCGCCTCATCGAGCGGCGGGCTGTGCAGACGCTCTCCCTGCTTGCGCTCCGGTTCTGACCGTGAAGATGTTGGCGATCTGTATTCCTCTTCCTCTCGGCGGGGGAGCATCAGGATGATCTCCTCTACGACTTCTCGTGGAGACTCAAGCTTCCGCCGGAGCAGTGGCGGCGGTGGTTCGCTGATCCTCGACAGCGGCGGCGGCTCTCATGGCGGCGTAGGTGGTCAGGGGAAGTTCCCCCCAGGGGATGGCGGTGGCGGCGGCGGCGATGACGGGGAGGCCCCCCAAGAGAGCGACGAGTTCGGGCCTCTGCTGAGGTTTGAGGAGGTGATGGCGGTTCTTGGGGAGAAGGGGCGGACGCTTCCGCTGGACATGTGGGAGGCGGCGGAAGCCGTCGGAATCCGGAAGCTGCTGCTCGAGAACTACCTGAACCTGCAGGTAATGAATGCCAGCGGTCGTGGCTGCTGGATCTTCTTCGTCCTCCATTTCCCCCTCCCGCTGCATCTCAACTCCTCTGCAATCTTCTCGCAGGCGATGCGATGGCCGCTGGGCCCCCTGATCGAGTTATTCCCCTGGTTCCGCAATCGGATGTTGGCAGATCCTCAGTTCCTCTTCAAAGTCGGAACCGAGGCCCGTAACTCTCTCCTCCTCCCCCATCCCTTCCTCCCTCCTCAGGTCTGGCTCCCTATGGATTATGAGCTCATCTTCCTTCTCCTCCCCCTGTGACTAGTCCGCAGATTTGCATAGATTCGTGCTGTGCGACATTCGCGGAGGTGCAGAAGAGGGGGAAGGATTTCTGGTCGGAGTTCGAGCTCTACGTCGCCGATCTCCTGGTCGGGGTTGTGGTAGACATCGCCCTGGTGAGCATGCTGGCGCCGTACGCGCGCATTGGGAAGGTCTCTGCGTCCAAAGGGTTTCTGGCCGGAGCCGCCCGTGTCTGCGGAGCTCTACCCAGCAGGTTGGCCCTCCTCAACCTCTGCCATGATGTGGGGCACGACCTTGCTGAAGCTCACCTGAACTCCAGTGATCATCTTGCTAGAATCATGAGACATGGCGTAATCCGATTCCTCTGCTCTCTTGTGCAGCGTGTTCGAGGCTGAAAGGCCGGGTTGCAAATTCTCCAAAGCTCAGAGACTAGGAGCATTTTTTTACAAGGTATCATCTTATCTGCATTGCCTCGAACCAGAGAAAACGTCGAAGATTTGTCAGTTCATGATCGAATAGTTGCTTTTTTATGCATTCATGGATCAAGAAGGTAGGATCATCTCATCTTCATTGCCTCGAACCAGAGAAAGCGTCACAGATTCATCAGTTCGTTGATCGAATAGCAGTTTTGTCTTTTGTTAGTTTCTTGCTGGTTGGGACATTCATCTCTGTTGCAGATATCACCAAACTTAAACTCTATTATGTATTGGTGGATCTAGAAGGTAAGATCATCTCATCTTCATTGCCACAGACCTGAGAAAACCTCGAAGATCCCTCCGTCCATGATCAGAGAGTTTTTCCTTTTTTCTGGTTTCATGTTGATTGAGATCCCGATCTCAAGAACAGATACTTACCTGACATAGAACCATTATGCATTCATGGTTCTATATATGAGGTCGTATTATCTCATCTTCCTTCCCTGAAGCCATGGAAAACCTCAAAGACCCTTCGATTCGTGATCAAATATCAATTTTTTTTTCTCTTGTGGATTGAGATATCGATTTCAACCACAGAATGTTGCTTAATATGGAATATTTTATGCATCCATGGCCCAGGGAGTGCTGTACGGATCAGTCGGATTCACATGCGGCCTAATCGGGCAGGGCATTGCGAACATGATTATGACTGTCAAGAGGTGCTTGAGAAATCCTATGATGATCAAAGTTATTATATTCTTCGCGAACTGATTTGTTTTTTTTTTTTTTTTTTTTGCCATTTATGGGGCTGGTTTCTTCCTCTAATGGGTCTATAACTGCGGGTCTGATTCAGTGGTTTCAGAGTTCTATGCTAATTTTAGAGCCTTCTTGTGCTAATCCCAGGAGTGTCAAGAAATCGGAAGAAGATGTGCCCGTCCCTCCTCTTGTGAAGAGTGCTGCACTTTGGGGTATGCTGGTGCTTGTTATTTCCTAAGATTAAATATACTCATTATATCTTTTTTCCTAAGAAAATCTTCATTAAATACCCATTATGTTTCTCCAAAGAATTTTCTTATTAATAATATTATTTTTCCCAAGAAAATGCTAATTATATATATATAAGCTGCATCTTGAGCATTATCTGCTCTTCAGCTGAGATCATCTCCATGTTGTCACCAGTTGCCATATTAGGAATTATAGTGATAATTGTTTCGAATAAAACGCCTTTCGATGTTACATTTTGCCAAAAACTGCTTTGTAGTCATTAGTTTCCCTAATAAGATTCTGATTATTCATTATTTCCCCTTCAGCAGTTCATCGCATTTTTCCATGTTAACCCTCCAGAAAACCTCTTCAGCTTATCCTCCTCCCAACTTCCAGTTCATAGACGCCGTTCAAATCATCAGTCAACCGGGCTTTCACATAATTAAAAAAAATGAAATAATAATCAGTAATGTTCTTGAGTCTTCTCAGGATCCCCAGGTGGGGCCCAGCTGAGCTTCCTCTTCTTCTTGTATCTTCTCAGGTGTCTTCCTCGCGGTTTCTTCGAACACCAGGTACCAGATAGTCAACGCTCTGGAACAGGTCGTAGAGTCGTCCCACCTGGCAAGGCGGGTCCCACCTGTTGCCATGGCCTTCACTGTCGGCCTCCGCTTCGCCAACAACATCTACGGGGGGATGCAGTTTGTGGACTGGGCCAAGTGGAGTGGGGTCCAGTAATAGAGTTCCTTGTAGCCTTTCCAAAAAAATATTATTTTTATTTTATTTTAAAGGGGGAGGGGGTGGAATAAATTATTAATCATCAATTAGTTAAGCTAAAGTATGATCATCCATCGTATTATTTTTTTATCTTAATAGGGGAGGTGTAATGATTTATTATTAATTAATTAATTAAGTTAAGGTCTGATCATCGATCAGATTTTCAGTTTTGAATTCTTGTTCTTTTTACATATATAGATAGATAGATAGAGGGAGAGAGAGAGAGAGAGAGAGAGAGTGGGTATTAGTGATCTTTATATTTTTTACAAAAAAATGAATTATGATCGTTATTTGATCCCCTCAGTTGAACATCTCCACATTGTATCATTTGCTACATAAATGCAAAATGACTATTTTTTTTTCTGAATATAAGCCTTTATTAGCCATAATTTCACCAAAAATACTAAATCATTATTTTTCCTAGTATAGAGCTAATTGATCGTCATCCAACTAAACAGATCATAATACATATTAAAAAAAATTAAAAGCCGTTATTATATATATATATATACATATAATATATATATAGGGTAAACATCCATCTAGCTGATGGTGTCCACCATAAAAGCAAACATGATATATCATAATACTGAAAATATAATTAAAATTCAAAATAAATCCAATCTCACGTAGGTAGTTATATTGAATGATGGATCATAATAATGAGAAAATACAAGCAGTATTTCCTATTCCCTCGTTTATTAACCACTTTTTTCCCCATTTAAGACATAATATTTCTTTCTGATGTCAAAAATCAAAGGGGTAGTTCCGTCTTTCAATTCAAATTTGGCCTCACTCCAAACTTCAATGAAGAACACAAAGAAAAAAAAACACACCGGAAATGCTTCAAAACGGATGAGTTGTTGGGGCAGAGGGAACTCAATGTTGAATGAATAACTGGGCGAATATTTATGAGTCATTTCAATGTCTTGCATAGAAATTTTTGGCACTTTCAATGTCTTGGATAGAGAATTTGGGAACTGTCAATGATTAGAATGAATCACCATACTAAAATATACAATTTAATCCGGTGAAATAGGCAGCATTACTAAAAAACAGGGGAGAATGGTATTTTATTTTCATCTGAAGCACATTCTATCCGAAGAACGAGAGAGAGAGAGAGAGAGAGAGAGAGAGATCTCGCAATGATAGATAATTGGGAACGGACAGGTTTGGGACAGTTTTTTTTTTTTTAACGATTATCGATTCATGATTGAGAGGAAATTTGAGGATTGTGAACAGTGGGTGTGCACTCTGGATGGGATCATCAACCCCGAAAGTTATTATCATGGCCACAGAAGTTTATAACATCAATGTAGATCGAACCAGAACACGAAAGAGATTATAATCAAGTCTCCTGAACAAAACTAAAGCTACGGGCGACTGTTTTTCGATGAGAAAATTGCACAAAGAGTTCTAAACTTCCATGACAGAGATGAAAACTGTTGTACTCCTCCGAGTTTTAAGGATTCTCGCGTCCTCCCTACCGGTAGGACTTCTGGTAGCGGGCGCGGGCGCCGCGACCTCCGAACTTCTTGGGCTCACAGCGGCGGGGATCTGCGACAAGGAGGGTGCGGTCGTACCTGATTAGGATGTCCTTGATCTCCTTCTTGGCCTGCTCGTCGACGTACTTCTGGTAAAAGGCGACCAACGCCTTGGCGATGCTCTGACGGATGGCGTAGATCCGAGACACATGACCGCCGCCCTTGACGCGGATTCGCATGTCGACCCCCGCAAAACGGTGGCGGCCGAGGAGGAGAATGGGCTCGTATGCCTTGTGGCGGAGGATCTCCGGCTTCACGAGCTCGATGGGGCAGCCGTTGATCTTGATCAGCCCCCGGCCGCGCTTGCAGTAGGTGACGGCCACCGCGTTCTTCTTCCGCCCAAAGCACTGCACAGACTCGACCGGAGCGGCCGCCATAGCTGCAACATGGAAGCAACAGTCAGACGAAAGAGCAGAGACTCAGCCGCCACCGAGGTAATAGGAAATAGTGGCGGCGCCGCCGCCGACGGTCCTTTACCTGCTTCTGCTCCGACGGGAGGCGAGAGGCGCCGCCGATGGCCTTCGAGAAAGAGGGATTATTTAGGGCTTCGAACGAGGCCGGACAGAACCAGGAGGGTTTATCATGCGTTGCTCGATAGGACGAAAATGCCCTTGTATGGTTTTCCTTGGCGGAGATTTTACAGTATTCTCCCTCTAATTATGCATACTTCGCAATTAATCCTTACGTTTACATATTTATAAATGTATCTTTTTACGAGCTTTGACGTGGGAAGGAGCCGTACTAGATGGCTCATTTATTATAAGGTAGAGAAAATTAGATACAATGTAATTATCTTAATATAAAAAATGTTAATATTAATTTTTTAAAAATAAACGTGACGATCGACTGACTGGTATTGAGCTCATGCTGCCACACCAATCGAATTGATTTTATCAGAGTGTAGGGTTGACTTTATGTCACCACATCATACACAAATAAAATATTAAAAATACTATAATTGTCTTAATATAAAATCTTATTTTCTTGGTCACACTTGATTGTGCTGTAAGCAACCTTGATGATTTGTCATCACCTGAGTTGACCCACAAATAGAAGAAGAGAAATTTTAGATGATGATCTGATGATTAGTGGTTGACTTTTATGTCATCACATCATACACAAATAAACATTTTAAAAATAGTATAATGGTTTTAATATAAAATATTTTTTTCTTGATCACTATTGACTTTTATGTTCTAAACAAGCATGACGATTCATCGTCACAAATAGAAGAAGAAGAGATATTGTAGAGGCCCAAGTGCAGCGATGACATACCTGAGGATTACTCTCATGCAGAATCAAGAATTTCCTTGTGTATAATATATTTACAACATTGCATATACAAATTTCCACGTCATCAAAACGTCACTTGGATTACACTAAATTGCCACAAATGGAAAATTCTAGGGGAGAAAAAAAACCCAAAAAAGGAAAAAAAATGGTTCCTCAAGTGAGACGATGGCGTGGAGGCCGGCCCCAAGAGAGCTGAAAAGATGGGGTCTTCCTTTGAGAAGATGGTGTTAAGCCTAGGCGGTGCCCGTTATCAACCTCTCTTGCTGGTCCAACCTCTTCACTTTGAGAAGGCTGATGAGGACTTGGACTCCGAAGAACGCGCATAGGAAGAACATAGCCATCGCCGGCGCCTAAATGGAGTATGAATTTGGTGAGATGAGGTGAAGTGAGATATCAAGAACACCAGATGGGATCTGCCTACCTGAATAGAGTTGAAGTGCAGGATCGTCGCGAGGTTCACGAGGCTTCCTGCCACAACAGCCTGTTCATTTTCTCAGAGGGAATTAGACAGATCCCAGCACAATCTAAATGGGGGAAGCATGAAATATATATATATATATATTATAAGTTTTTCTGCAATTAATTACTATTCATAGATTAGTTCACTCGAGGAAGAACATCCCAAATAAGGTAAATATGATGTGCCTTCTGGACTTACGTTGCCGATGAGTTTCTGCACGGCGGCGACTCTCTGGAACGACCTCTCAGATTCCAGAGCCCGTACTCGCAGCTTGAGATCGCCCTTCTCCTGTGAAGCAATGGAGGATCAGGGTCTGACCCTTTGACGTGTGCTGCAGGGAGGAACAGTATATGGAAACATGGGGACGTTGGTTGAGATTTCATGGCGTACCAGTCGCTGGATGATATCAGCCAGCTTCTCGACTCTGTCCGCCTGTCTGAATAGGTTATGGAAAGCACGAGCCTGTCGATCCCATCTTTTCTTTATTTCCTGAAAAAGGATGAACCGAGAGTGAGCATTTGAAGCATTTTACTCGTTCCATCCAATGCCACCCTATCCTAACTTTTATAGTAATAATAATAATAATAAGGAACATTATAAGCTCACCTTCACAAATACCTCAACGCCAGCCTCGCGAAATTTCAGCAACTCCAGTGCATAACTGGGAAAATAAAAATAAAAATAAAAATAAAAATAAACATAAAAATAAACATAAAAATAAAAATTCAAGCATGAATTATATACTAAAAGAGGAAAAAAAAAAAGGCTGGGATCGATCAGATAGAAAGTGGCCTGTGGAGGAAGGAGCAGAGGAGCAGAACTCACGGTTTTGCAATCTCTGTGATGTCGAATCGCGGGTCTAAACCCTTCCCAATCCCATCCAAAACTGTTCACATAAAGGTCGTGATGAGGAGAATGCCATAGAGGGAAAGGAAGAGAGAGGTCAACGTCAATGTGGACTCTTTTTGGTAATTTTTGGCCACAAAAATTACCAGAAAATGCTCTGACAACAAATGTGAAGGTAGCAGGGAAGCGGAAGGGTTGATCAGCGGCAATTGCAAGCAGATCCTCTCCTGGACATGAAAAAAAATCGAAGCAGAAGAAAGTTGAGCACAGAAGGCTGCTTTTTTTAGCTGAAAACGATGTCCTCTGATGTGATTCGAGGATATGAGATGACTGGTAATGGATAAGGTTACCGATTGCGGCGAGGCGTTGCTTCTTTTTCTCGAATCTTTCCTCCTTGCTCAATTGCTTCTTGAATCCGAGTTCCATGGCTGCCATTTCTCTCTCCTTCCTCTGCGCTGCGAGGCGCTCCTCAAAGCTGAAGATTGGGGGTTCCACGAATGTCAATAAAAGAAGCTGCCCACCTGACATATCTCGATTTATTTTCAGAAAATTAGAGATCAATCGCCACCTGTTGAGGAAGAACTGAGCTGTTCTCCTGACAGCTGTCATGTCTCCGGTGGGAACAAGCACCCCCATTTGAATCATTGCTTGAAGAACCTGTGTTAAGGGTCAAACGGAGTTAGTACTGAACATGAGGGTGGAACGCTTCTAGGGTTTTATGTACGACCACACAGCCAATTTGGCCAAGAAAATAAAGGTTTGCAGAGTAAAAAATAAAGGAAGCAGAGTATTTTTCAGGCACACGTTTCTAGATTATGAGAGGAGTGGATGCGATTTTCTTTCATGAAGTCAACGAGGCCTTGGCTCGTATAGATTGAAAGTATCTATGGATTTCTAAAGTCAGTGAAGAAAAATGAGAAAAATGAACTCTCAAGAACAAGCAATAAGATCGAACCTTCATCTAGATAACATTTTCCATCGAGAAAACATTATTTCCTCAACCCTCTCTGTTCTACACGAAACTATTAAATTATAAGCGTAAATGTGATGCTTAAATATAATAAAAACAAACGCTAGTGGAGAGAGTGGCAGAAGAGCTTACTCTGTCTGGGTCCTTTTCATATACTCCATAGAAGGCTTCAAGCAGACCCTCCCTTATATTTGGGCTAATACTGCAAACAGGGAGAAAGGGATATTAGAAATAAGGATGACAGTCAGCGGATAAGTAGCTAGGGGCTAGTAAAAGAAGCCATGCACGACCTTCCCATCATGCCAAAATCGTAGAAGATAAGCCTTCCACCATTCACATCATCAACAGCAATATTTCCTGGATGCTGCAATCAGAGAAAATCTTCAGAAATAATTTTTTCTTTATTTTTCTTAAAACAGAAAGAAGATCATTCCATAGCATTTATTTCTAGGTGCAATCATATTAATTCACTTCGAAGAAATATTTTCCGTGTATGAACTTAAAATTCGATCGTCGTTTTCTTGCGTTTTCAATGCAGAGCAATACAAGGAAGAGGCAAGTACCGTTGTGCTTTTTTCTTTCTTTTTTTAACCTCCTGTTTAATGACTCAGATAAAATATGCCATATGTAGGTCTATTTGAGTTAGGTTTGACGGGACTAAATGAGGCAATCATTCTGGTGATCAGATCATGGTTTTATGCTACTAGCTGTCCAGAAAAGAAAGATTCAGTCAATGCCATTAAACTCTTCTTTGAACATTACAAAGACATGGATAAGCCATCTGTTAACCTGAGATAAAAAAAAAGAAGTGGTGGTATCTAGCCCTTGTTTGGATTTTTAGGTTCCTAAGTACTAAAAAGTTACAAAACGTTCAATCAGGCAAATATATTTGATTAATGGGATTATGGCCGTCAGAATCTGTACGAAGAAGCTAAATGCACATTAAGTTTACAACAGCACAAGCCATGAAAACCCAACAGAGTGGGATATGGCTCACATTTCAATGTTCTATTTACCACAGAAACGTATCAAAACATGAGTAAAAACAAGTTCTTACACAGTATTTTTAAAAACCGTGCAAAAGCAAACAATCAGATTCAATAAATTATGGAAATTAATTGGTTGATAGTGCAACCATACTCCATAATGCATTGGGTTCTATATATGTTGGCGAGTATACCGTATAAAAAAGAGTATAGAAAAGCATGATCGGGTAGCATTCCAAAGTAATGGATTTTTTTGATGGTCACTACAAAATCTGAAAAAAGACTGCATCACTCTGAAAATATCGAGCAACACAATAGTCAATTTCAATCAATTGCAATCATCATCATGTGTTTCATTAATATAGGGTTAGCTGGCATTGGATGCCCAGCAACTCACCGGATCAGCATGAAAAAACCCATGAGATAGAATCTGTTCAAGGTATGACTCAACAGCATATCTACTTAATCTGCAATACAATAAAATGGCTAGGTCAAACATCCAATTTTGCCAACAGAACAGGAAATAAATTAAGTCAATTAAAATGAAGTAATTTGAGAGCTGAGTCTATAGAATTCTATTACAACAGACTAACTTGCATTTCTTACCTTTGGCGGTCAACACCCAACTCATCCAACGCTTTTATTTTATTTATTTTTATTCCAGGTACATACTCCATCGTCAGGACCTGCATTCAAGTAGCTTCTTACATAAAAAACAGAGAAGAATGAACTTTTTGGTAGAAATTAATCGAAATGAGCACGAACCTGTGGAGTGGTGTATTCCCAGTATATATTTGGTACTTTCACATAATCCAAATCTTTGAAGTTCTTGGCAAATAGCTCAGCATTAGCGGCTTCTTTGGTGTAGTCTATCTCCTGGAATCAGCAAGCAAACCATGAATCATAGAGGTACATCATACTGACTAAGTACAGCTTCTGCTGTGAAATATAAAGCATGGAACAGTCTAAGATAATCAACCTGATACAGAACGCTGGCACACTCATCGTAAATAGCAACCCAGTCTCTCTTTGCACCATCAGACTTTGGATCGATTTTCTGAAGATATTCGGCTATAACCTGGGAGGGACCACGAATATCTATAAATAAATAAAAATCTAAAAGAACTATACAACAAAAAAATAATGACCCTTTTCCCAATATGTAAAAGCCAAAGTATTATAAATGTCCAAAATGGTAGATCACCACGCACAGACAAGTTCGAAAGAGATTCCACTATTAAGAAAGACTGACAAAGTGACCAATATCCAGTAAATTTCTTTTGACTTATTTGTGCACTGGGCATGCTTTCCATCAATAACATAGTGCTAACAAAATTCTCAAATCACACAGACAAGAAAAAAAATAAATCCGGTATGTAAAATAAAACAGCAACTAGAATCCATCGGGAACGTTTTTCACTAGAAAAGCAAGCTTCCACTTGCAAAGGAACGATGTCACTCTAATCCCTCAAAGAAGGGAAAAAAGTACAAAAACAGTGGCCGCTGATACTTGGTGAAGTTAGCATGCTCCTTTTCATGTGCAACCAAAAATATGCCATTGAGCGTCAACGACAGGAAAACAGGCAAACGGGATTGCCTAGTTAAAAATTTACTCAGAGAAACAAAAGTCTCAAGAACAAAAATCACTAACCCGAAGGTTCTTCAAATCAATATCAAACAGATCCTTCAGGCCAGGACGCTGTACTTTGACCACAATTTCCTGACCTCTGAGCTTCGCACGGTGTACCTGACCTGGAAAGAAAAAAGTGCTTTAAGTTAGATCTTAAAGAACATGCTCTCAAAGGGATAACCAGCTGGAAGGTAAAAAGATGAAGCGGATCATCAACATTAAGAGAATTGAAAATTAAAAATGCGTTACCCAGACTGGCAGCTGCAATCGGTTCGTAGTCAAATCTATCAAATATTTCACCAGCAGGACCCCCAAGTTCCTCTTCAAGTATAGAAACAGCTACTTCTGAGGGGAACGGAGGAACTTGATCCTGAAATAATATGGAGGAAAATATATATTACTTAGTGGCTAAAGTGTTTTGTCTATATCCTTATCAAGAATTAACATCATCACAGTTGCCACATATAAAGAAGTACCTCTGGATCTATCTAAAAATTAGAACAAAATGCAAATGACTACGAATTCTTTAGATAATCTGGGAAAAATAAATGCACTGTAAGAGTGGAGGAATACTTTATCACTATGTGGCCGTTGAAAATGCTGGAAAGATTTTGAAGGAGGAATTAAAAGATCACTGAGACCACGTATCGCCAATGGAGTAATGGTCGTGGCCATGACAAATGAATCATGTAGCCACTAAAGCTGAAAATGTGGAGAAAAAAGAGACGGGATGTTCTATGTCTCCACCGATTCAACCAATATGATCTACCAGTAAGGATATTCACCTGAAGCTCAGATAGCTGGTCAACATATTCTTGAGCTAGTATGTCAACCCTTGTAGAAAACTGTTGTCCTATCTTGATAAATGTAGGTCCCAATCTTAAAATACTTTCCTTTAGCCACTTGGCAAGGACTTTCCTCTTCTGTACTTTCTTCTCTTCCGTCATGCCACCTGCATGTATAATAACAGATATGCTATCAAAAGGAAATTTCTTGGTTGCCAACCCAAATTGATCATAACAATAATCTGCAGTCCAGTTGCAAACAGACAATCGAAAATACAGTTATACCAACGGAAGGTGTAATTAATATGGGGATACATGGATGATCATTATTGTTTCCAGATTGATAGTAGATCTCTAAGGTAATGCCTTTTGTGCATTCTTGCATGATCATTATCGTCCTTGTTGTGGCTTTCCCCACTATTTAGTATCTTATCAACATAATTTAAGTCACCAGCGGATCACTGGCCAACAATTGGGCATAATGCAAACTCATAAAGCATCCGGGGAACATCTTCTAAGGAATCGCTTTAGCAAAAACGCGAACTTAAATATTTTTTGTGGTGAAAGGAAGCAGTGCCCCTTGCATAATCAATGGGCAAATGAGTTATGTATAATAGTACCGTATTTACACTATCACATGTTGCGAGAAAAATCTATGATATTGCGGTAGAAACTTGTTGAAAGATCGTAGACTGACCTTGATAAGAGAATTTCTGATTGTTAACCCACGCCCTGAACAGAAAAGTGAAAACGAATCCCCATATTTCCAGCGTCCTCTGTATAGTCGAATAGGTCTTAAATCTGTTCCAACGTCCTCCGGGAGCCACAGAAACCTACAGATACGAAAAAATCATTCACAATATAAACTGCATTTAAAGTTGCAAAGCACCTGCCTAGTGCATTCTTATAGTGAATAACATTCTAAGTCTGCAGACAATTGGCCCTTAAGAAGAAAAGACAACGAATATTCCCGAAATACAAAATTTCACAGGTCCTACTGGTACTATACCATTGTCTTTCTCTTCATAGCAATTTAACAGTCCGGATGTAAAATAAGACATTTTCAAAGTAATATGGATATTACTAAAAACTGGATACTTCAACTAACCTCGAGTTTATCTTTTCCATTCTTCTTAAACCAAGCTTCTTCCTGTCCTATTTCCTCTATGGTTCTCTTCCTACCCTCCGACTTCATCTTAGGGACTTTTTCCGCCACTGCAGTCTTCGAGGCTTCATTTCCATTGACATATTTGACTAAACTTCCGTTTCCCACCGCACTACCATTTCCATTTCCATTCCCATTCACGTACAACTCCACATTACCACTGGACTCCCCGGACCAATACTTCGACTCTCCACTCCTGACGCTCCCGTTCCCATTCCCATTCCGGCCGTAAGAATCCAGCTTCCTCATCAACTCCTCGTCCTCCAGGACCGCCACCCGGTCCTCCGGCACCCACCTGGCACGGACACAGGGCAAATAAGACAACCTCCGCCGGTTACCACGCAGCTGGAGACAGCGCGCCGTGCCCCGGGAGCCCCTGGCGCCGCTACGCTGGAGAAGAAAAAGCTCGTGCACGCTCGAAGATGTCGAAGCCATCGCCAACGCCATGCCCGGAGTTCCTCCTACAATTCTAGGGTTTTAGGAAAATATTTGTGGCCCAGGATAGCCGATTGAGCCCTAGATATCCAGCTCGGAGAGCGCTGCCTGGAGCAGGGAGGTGGAAGAGGAAGGGGACGGGTGCGGATGCGGGTGCGGGGGAGCACTCTAGAGAGCTGCTGGTGGTGAACTACAGACAGCACCATATATATGAAAAAAAAATTAAAATAAAATTATAAAGCGGGATAATAAATTAATCCAAATAAACAAATCCTGAGGCGGGAGTGAAGAGATGGCTGAGGCTCGTCCACGTGTCGCTCGTGGTGATGAGAGCTCTCCCTCTCCTATTGGTCGAGGCCGCTTCCCCGCGCTTTCATGGCCACTAGATTTTTCCGCAGGTGGGGACCACCCGAACTTCCTTGGACGGTAGATATCTGCCGAAGAATCCAGGACCACATCGGTGGCGAATAGTGGGCCGTTGGGCTTTATAAATGGGCCTGAGCCTGTTTTAATGGGCTGACCGTTGAGTAGGTACACATCTGTTCCTGGACGGTCGGATGCTTGTTTGACGGTTGATATCTATCAAAGAGAAGTTACAGTGTTGGTGGGCCGGGGTAAAAGAGAGGTGGGAAAGTGGGCTTTAGGCGCTCCAAGTCGTCCTTGGCGGCCAATAGGATTTTTTCAGGCCTTGGATGTTTATTGGACGGTAGATATCTGCTGAAGAATCCAAGACCAGATCGGTGGCGAGTAGTGGGCCTATGGGCTTTATAAATAGGCCTGATCCTGTTTGAATGGGCTAACCGTTGAATCAGCACACATATGTTCCTGGACCGTTGGATGTTTATTGGACAGTGGATATCCATCAAAGAGAAGAGTAGCAGTGTTGGTGGGCTAGTCTTATGACAGGTGGGAAAGTGGGCTTTGAGCGCTCCGAGTGGGCCTTCGCGGCCGCTAGGAATTTTCCCGCCGTTGGATCTTCGTTCCACGGTCGATGTGTGTCTAACTGAGCCTATCAGGCCAGTCTGAGCTTTCACAGGCCCAATTGGCCATCAGGATAGCGGGCTTTGGGCTTTTGTCAGTGGGCCTTTAAATGGATAATAATGGTAAACCCCTCGGTAATATGGATATTAATGAGAAATAAAATGCCCGTTCGAAGGAAAAAATAGGCGTGTTGAACTGCTCCCGCCTTGGCCCCCTCAACACCGCCAGCACTGCCGCTCCGCCGCCGGCTTGCAGTGGCCTTCATGTTCTCGAGGCCGATACTCCGCCGGAAGCAAACCTTGGCCGCTGCCATCCGCCGCCTCTCCTTATCTTCTCCGGATTCCTCTCCCCATCTTCCTTCCAGTCTCAGCCGGTACGGCTTCAGGCCGCCGCCCTCCCTCTCCCCTCGCGACCACGGCAGCGGCGCCGCCGATGCCTCCGGCAGCGAGCGGAGGAAAGGGAAGCCCCGCTACCGTCCGCCGTCGTCGCTGGACAGAGAGGGGCAGAATCCCCTCCATTCGGACCTTCCCTTCGACTTCCGCTACAGCTACACGGAGAGCAATCCCGATGTGAAGCCCATCGGCCTGCGGGAGCCCAAGTACTCGCCCTTCGGGCCTGGAAGGGTGGACAGGATCTGGACGGGAACTTGCGCGCCGGCCGTGGACCCGACGGTGCGGACCCTCGACGGCGGCGACGGCGGCGGGGAGGAAGGGGATGGGAAGAAGCAGGCCCGAAGAAGATCGAGGGAAGAGATTCTCGGAGAGCCGCTGACTCCGGCGGAGAGGAAGATCCTGGTCGACAAATGCCAGAGGAACCGGAACAAGCGCCAGGTCAATCTCGGTGAGCGCCTGGATTTCACGGTCTCTCAACTTCTGCATCAGAAATCTGCAGGATTGATTCAGGATTATATTCGTGGGTCATCAGAAATTTCTCTTTGAGAACTAAGAATGAATAAATAAAAATGCTCGTTTTCTCATATCTGCTTCCCTCTTTGTAGGAGGGCAACTGATCTTTTTTCCAAAAAAAAAAAAAAAAAACAAATGCAGGGAGAGACGGGCTGACCCACAACATGTTGAATGATATCCACAACAACTGGAAGCATGCAGAGGCTGTGAGGATCAAGTGCCTCGGCGTGCCCACTGTGGACATGAACAATGTGTGTGCACAAATTGAGGTGATTTTATATTCCAAGTTCTTGACATGCATAAGTTCATCGACCTTTTTTGGGTGATTCTCTTTACCGAAAAATGCATTCTTTTTTTATTCACTGGCGCTTTTTTTAAGTGATCTTATTAAACTCGTGGATGCGGACTAGAACTTTCTGGGTGATTTTATTACATCAGAGAGGAGGCCACTCAAGATTTTATTTTATTTTTCTTCCTGTCCTCATCGGATCCTTCCTCTTTGATATTGGTTTACGTTGGATTCTCTCTGGGTATTTAAGGCACTTTTTAAAGTTGTGAATTATTTTTTAAAAATAAAGGGTTTGCTCTATTCATTGGATCTTAAAATAAAAAAAAGAACTACATTTCGTGGTACAAAGAACCGAAGATGGGTTGGCTGAACTGGGCATTTTCACACCCTTTATTTAAGGAAAAAGGCAAAAGCTTATTAATATATTTGTGGAATATATTTGCTATTTTTTGCCATTATTAGATGCCTTGCCAGCTCGATTTCTCCGTGTTCTGACTGAATGACCATGTTTTGGAGTTCATCTCCTGGAGGTGATCATCAGATCTTTGCCTTGGGATGCGCATTAAAAGCTTATTAATGGGAGAAACTGAATATGGGACAGGCTTTTTTTCTTTTTCTCTTCTGATGTCTGATTCTCTCTCAACAAATGGGATCAAAGAGGAGCCCATGATTATTTCTGTATATTTCATCGTCCGATATTGAACTTCTTTTGATTAAATTTCCCCAATTAGGATATTTGTTAAATCGCTTAATAAATATGGATATGTAGGACAAGTCCGGCGGCAGAATCATCCACAGGCAGGGCGGCACGATCATCCTGTACAGAGGGCGATATTATAATCCCAAGAAGAGGCCGGTGATCCCGCTGATGCTGTGGCGGCCCCACGAACCGATCTACCCAAAGCTGATAAAGACGACGATCGATGGTCTGACTGTTGAGGAAACCAAGGAAATGAGGAAAAGAGGCCTTGCAGTGCCTGCTTTGACGAAACTCTGTAGAAATCCTCCCCCGGCCTCCATATTTTGTCTGGATCGTCAATTTTTTATTTTTATTTTTTATTTTCTGATTTTTAATCTCTGCTGCAGCGAAGAACGGTTATTATGCTAACCTTGTGAGCATGGTCCGAGATGCCTTTCTGACGGATGATCTTGTCCGGATCGACTGCCAGGGCTTGGAGAGGAGTGATTACAAGAAAATAGGGGTCAAGCTTAGAGTAAGACTTCTCTTCACCTGGGTTTTTAATGCTACATTTATTTTTGAATTATCTTTTTTTCTATCATTTAATCGATGTAATTAATCCAACTTATTTTATTTGCCCAGCTTGTATTTTTCTTTTCCCAAATGCATCATCACCCATTACATCATAATATTTTTTCTTAAATTTTATTTATTTATTTCTGAGAACGACTTTGCCAAAATGCAGGATCTCGTCCCATGCATCCTCGTCACGTTCCAGAAGGAACAGATCGTCATCTGGAGGGGCCCAAATCACGGCGGGGCGGCAGGAACGCCAGGGTACTCTTGAGGGCAGCTCGTCCTCGCCTGGTCTAGAACCAGTGAGCATCTCCGAGCTCTTTGATGAAGCGCCGGTTTGACTTCCGTGTCAGAGATGGGATGGGATGTGTTTAGTGGGTCAAATACTTTCCAGACTTGGGCAAATGATATAATCAAATTATTACAGCGTCCAGAACACAAATTGTGGTCATGAACAGAGAGCTAAGTCAACTTTCTAAAATAGGAAATCGAAATCAACAGGGAATCCCCATGAGGGGGGGGGCACATCTCTCCTCCCTCCCTCCCTCCCGGATGGATGGATGGATGGGATCCTCCTCATTTGGAGTGGAGTGATGATATGATATTCCCACGCTCGAATAAATTCACTCCCACAGGAATCCGTATGCACAAAACCTCTAACTTACACCCCAGGCCGGGGGGGCGGGAAGAGAGAAATCACAGAGAAGAGACAGATTATAGCGAGAGAGAGAAGCAATTTTCTTGATGTGGGGGGCTGGTGGGTCACCTGGGGCCGGAGAGTTCGACGGCGTGGAGGTTGTCGGTTGAGTCAACGATCCACTCGGAGTTGCGGTTGGGGGCAAGGTCGACCTCCTGGCGGACGACCTCGACCTTCTGCCACTCCTCCCAGCGCTCGGCGAGGCCGTCGCCCTCCAGCATCCGCACCACCTCCGACATCTTCGGTCGCTCCATCGGCGAGCTCTGCGTGCAGAGCAGCGCCACCTGGATCAGCTGCTCCACCTCCGCCTCCACGTAGTTCTGCAGGTCCGGGTCCACCAGCATGTCCAGCTTCTTCTCCTTGAGCAGCCCCTTCACCTGTCCTCTCCCACCCACATCATCATCAACAACAACAAAAGCAATCAGATCATCGCACCCCTCAACAACAACAACAACAACAATCTATCATCAGTAAGTACAATGGGGACTATAGAAACCAGAAGATGCAGAAGAAGAAGATGATGATGATCGAGTACCCACCCAGTCGAGAAGCATGACGTCGTCGTCGTTGGCGAGCCTAGCGAGATCGAAGGCCCTCTGGCCGGTGATCAGCTCGAGGAGCATGATGCCGTAGCCAAAGACGTCGGTCTTCTCCGAGGACTTGCCGGTGGAGAGATACTCGGGGGCTATGTGGCCGATGGTCCCACGGACGGCGGTCGTGACGTGGGTGTCCTTGTAGTCCATCAGCTTGGCCAGGCCAAAGTCCCCCACCACCGCCTCAAACTCCTCGTCCAGCAGAATGTTGGCCGCCTTCACGTCCCGGTGGATGATCTTCGGGTCGCAGTGGTCGTGCAAATAGGAGAGCCCCCTCGCCGACCCCAAGGCAATCCTCTTCCTCGTCCCCCAGTCCAGTGGTGGCTCATTCGGTGGCCGCTCTGCGCCCAGTGAAATCTCAAAATGGAGATGATGGAAAGCTTGACTAGAAATTGGTGTTTGGTTGAATGGGGGCACCTCTCAGTCTCGATGCGACGCTCCCGTTGGCCATGTATGGATAGACGAGGAGCCGCTCCGTGGGGGTCATGCAGAACCCACGGAGGCGGAGGAGGTTCCGGTGGACGGCCATGCTGATCATCTCCACTTCTGTCTGGAACTGGAGCTCTCCTCCGGGGGTGCGCTCCTCCTTGAGCCGCTTGACCGCCACGAGGGAGCCGTCGGCCAGCCTGCCCTTGTAGACCTTGCCGAACCCGCCCCTGCCAAGGATGTTCTTGTTGCTGAAGCCGTCGGTGGCGACTTGCAGCTCCCTCAGGGAGAACCTCTTGAGCTGCCCCAGGTGAACCTCCGGATCTTCCTCGGCTGCACCAGAGAGAAGAAGGGGCTGGTCATTGAAGGGCCCAGTGGCCAGGTCAGGTTATTGGTCGGCTTAGCTACGAACCCGGCACATCGAAGAAGTGCTCTTGGGGTTTTCGGCGCCGCCACCACGCAAACCCAATTGCAGGAGCGGCGAAAAGCAATGCAGCACCAGCTGCCACGCCACCAGCTATTGCGCCGGTGCTTGAGGCGCTACTACCTGTCCCAGTGACATCAACGGTAACTAGTTTAGGAAACCAATACAAATTAAAAAAAGAAAAGAAAAAAAAGAAAGCGGATGTATGAATATGCGTCCATTGATCTTAAGCCAGATAAGTCAATGTATGGGTTACATGTAATCGCATGTATTAATAACATGGTGATGAGGATGACCTCTAAGATTCTGCTGATGTCAGAAGCATTTCAAGAGTGAATAAATTGACTGCTAGCTTAGATGAGTTCAGAAGAGAAACGAAAAATGGCGGGATCTCGGATCTCACGGTTCTTCCAATTGCTTCAGCCTAAATGACCGGTTAGAACGCTGCAAGAGCTGTAGAAAGATTTAAAAATCTTGCTCTCCAAATACCTTCAGATATACCAGAGAACAGAGTTTTCCCAAAATCTATCAAGAACACTGCCAGATGTTGGGCTACAGCCTGGTTTTCATTTTAAAAATAATATTTAACCCAGTTGGAATACGCTTTCTGTGGCATAGATCCAACGCAGACTTATTTAGACCAGATGATACATGTTTGGCGCAAAAAGAAAGTCTGAAACCTATTTCTCTACAAAAAACAATTCTTTTTCGAAGGAAAATGCAGGAAGACATAAATTACAGCAGCATCCTTATTTTAGCCGAACCAAGATCACTCCATTTGATAATTCAAGGGACTCGAAGAAATTTAGAAGACAGTAGACTATTTTTTTACCAGGAGAAGGAGGCGTTGTCTGTGGAACAAAAGGAGGAGGTGGAGAAAATGGAGGAGCTCCTGGACAGGGTTTTCCTGTACCCGGACCGCACAATAAGGGGTTGTTGTTGAAGCTACAAACAGAGATTTTTGCCGTCAGCAACTACATAGAACTGTGCATAAAATGGTCAGAGAGTAGAGTTATCTGCCAAGAAACCTGATGGGGGTGAACAGTGAAAAGGAACCAGTGGAGGGAACTTCTCCTGATAAGTTATTGTTCGACAGATCCCTGCGTCACCCATGAAAACCGCAGTTCAACAAGTACTTCACCAAAAAAACACTCGTAAGAAGAAACAACGTTCATCTGTATATAGCATGGGAAGCAGCTGACTTACAGGACTTGTAATGTCGAGATATTAGTCAGTGACTTGGGAATTGGACCGGACAAGCTATTGTTATTAAGTCGGCTATCCTTCCACAGAAAGCATGAAAAGCAACACAGTTAAATCAGGGATAACAGCTGTCGGTGTACTCAAAGAAAATGACAAGCAAATTTCAGAGCGGCTGCTATAAATCAACAGTAGGCGACTGCAATAGCAGTAAAATTCTAAGAGCTAATGAGAAAAGTAATAAGTACATGATTTTTTTCAGTTAAGCGCTCATCTTAAAATCACCATAGACAGAGAATATTATTATCAACCTTTAGCAAGTATTATGCTCAGGTGAAACTCACAAATTGAGCTGCTTTATTTATCTTTCTCTTACCTCAAATGCAAACACACCTTCAGCAACTAATTCCGTCACCAACCTGATGTTTGAATGCACAATGAATAAACAGTTTATTGATTATACTACATGAGGACATGCTCGTCCTTCCATTGTGCGGTGGTTTGTATTAACATGTAGGGATACAACTAAGAAGTGAGATAATATGAAAATATGAAAACATTAGGAGTATGATTGGTACAAACAGTACTCTTTTGCATTCATGTTGGATGTATATGACCGTTTAAACCATTCCAATCATCAACCCGGGAGCATCTTGACCTTGAGTAGGGCCCCCAGCATAACAAAACTTGCGGCTCAAGAGTTCCATTATTTAACCCAATCGTCATCCCTTAGCAAGCAAACGGATACAATCATGAATTTATTGATTATACTACATGGTAATTGCAGTCAGTATTTAATCATGAGTCACTGACAAAGACATAACGGATACAATCATGAATTTATCTAAGGATTCTATGATCAGGATCGTGGATCATCCAACCTTGTCTACAGTGGTATGTTAAAAAATACTGAGATCTATTTACAGAAAATTTAAGGGTAAAATATTTGCCCACAGGAGTGAAAGTGAAAGTGAGACAGCAATCGGCACACTGATCACAAATATTTAATAGAGCTAATTTCAAGACATTACTATGATCAATATCTAAAGATGTACATACAATAATCCATTTGCAAGGTAACCTTGTTTTCATATAAATGGCAGAATCAGTTTGAAAAGTGTCCTAGTAAATGGAAATAAAAATAAAGAACTTGATTAAAGCAACTTACAGAAAACGCAGCTTCGTAAGTTTTCCCAGAGTCTCTGGTATTGGACCAGAAAAGTTGTTCAAATAAAGATCCAAGCTAACTAAGTTGGTCAAATTCCCAAGCTCACTGGGAATTAGGCCACTTATATTATTACTGTAAAGTTCCCTGTCATGGATGTGAAACAAGTTCAGAGTTACGTGGGAACCAAACTACCAAAGTATTAAAGATAAAAATAAAAAATATGGCTGTACTGGTTACAGTTGAGGGCAAAAAATTGGGTTTCAACGCTGTTGCGATTGCTTAATGAATTATGGTTGTCACTAACTTCAAGAGAAGAAAATGCTGTCGCAATAAATTGAAAGTATGGTTACTATATTGCTGCTTTCCACACGATTTGCGACCAAGAAATTGGGTTCCACGAATGGGAGTTTTAAAGGATGTAAAATCACATTTTCTGAACTTGGAAACCTTGAGAATTTGTCTATCCTTATTTGTTATTTTCTGTAACTTCTAAGCATTATCTGCCAATACAAAAACATCCAGAGGATTTGGAGATAAAAGTTCAACTAAGCACACAAATGACTGCAAAATCGTGATGCACTGCTGTTCAACAACCATACAAATTGCAATAACCTTAAGAAGTTACAGGACTAGTTCTTTCTGATGTCAGTCTCAATCCAATAACTCTCTCTCTCTCTCTCTCTCTCTCTCTCTCTCTCTCTGTTTTATGAATTCTGATAACACTGCATCTCCATATTAATTATAAAGGAAAAACTGAGAAAAGAGATGAAAAAATTAATTGCAAATAAAAACGGCCCCTCGCTAGGGTCTACATGCCACACTTCCATCGATCAATCCTGCTGTTCTAAGAGGAATCTCTCGTGAAATCAGTCATATCTCTTATTTCTTACATTATATGAAGTATTTTTCAAGTTAATCTGGGGAGGGTAAATTAGTTCTGAAACCTGGGGATAATCGTCTTTGGAAACCTCCAAAAAATATTCTAAAAATCAAGACATTTAACATCCTCACATGAAAGATAACTAACAATAGGAGACGTAAAACGAAATAACATCAGAGAAAGCTCTAGTTCCAGAATATGGAGAAATTGGCTAAGGATGGTCAACAATCTAATATAATTTACTATAATAAGGAATCTGTTTACAAGGTGTTTTCATAAAACCAGGAAAGGAGTGCAGTCCGATCTTAGTCTTGATGTAACATCTGAGTTAACTATTAGACATGCCTTTTTGTTGAAAACGAAACTTTAAATTACATGATCCTACTGCTTACTAGCGTTCAGCTTGTTATCAATAAAACATTATTTAAAAAGTAAAGGGACTGTGAAGTTAGTTCTTGTAGATCATCTTAATATGGATGGTTTGAATAGCACTAAGATATCACTTACAATTTTCATGCCAGAAGTCCATACATCACGTGCATGGTATGCTCTGAACTTAAGCTTGAGAACAGGGATTACAAGCCATGATCTCAATAATGGTATAATTGACTTCTATGCTACCTCTATTACAAATGATCTCAAGGAAAATATCTATTGGCATACTCCTTTCATACATCAGAATTATTCGTTGGACACAATATTAAAATGTCATTATCTGATGAAAGGTGACTTATAAATGATTTCCAATAAGAATACTCATAAAATCATAGATTAACAAGGCATCCTTTTTAGTTGAATCAAAGACAGTCAAGAGGAGTACAAGGACCACATAGAATCTAATGCATCCATGACGTTTTCCCTCCCTTACACAAGTACCATCCCAATGCTTGTATCACAATATGCGACTACCATGAGATCTACTCTCTTTAAGATAAATGCAAAAGGCACACAGAAATAGGATCAGAAAGCCCATTTCAGCTCTAATGTGATAAATAGAAGATATCTTAATCAATTATTAGAATCAATTATCAGAGAAAATGATGATTTTGACGTCAAAGGACAACAATGAAGATTTAAATACTGTCAGCATCCAAAATTATTTCCCTATAAAAGTCATTACGGGCGTACAAAGTCTAAAATGTCAGACGTGTAAATAGAACAACTTACAAGTACTCCAAATTCCTAAGCTGCCCAAGTTGTGAGACCAAAGTACCAGATAGGGCTGCATTTCCAAGGTCGCTGAAGGAATAAAGAAGTGAGTATCACGTTGAAGTAATTCCTCAACTCGAACTTTCAAGCACATAAATATGTGTCTTAACATTTTCTCAGTTGCACAGGCGAGCAGATAAAAATGCACTTGTACTTACACTCGTGTGACACTATTCTCACTGTTGCAGGTAACATGAAACCAAGTGCATGGATTTACAAGTGTCGGATCCCAACTTTGAAGGACTTTATTAGGATCCAACAAATTGGTCCTCAGACTATGCAAAGCATCACCTGTTCACAAGAGAAATCACACTCATCAAAAACCAATGAAAATACAACAAATAGCTCATAACTGAAGAAAAAAAGCTAAAATTCAGGTAAACTAATATAAAAAATCCATGCTCCACTGGAAGACTTGTGGATGATTGGATCAAACTAATTATGATATTTTTTGGCTCTTTGTACTGACAACCTCATCACAGCCTTTTTTTTCCTATTCATATCAGTCAAAACTAAGGCTTGATATTCAACAATTTTATTCACAATGACGACGGCCTTAGCCTTAAAAATCATCAATTAGTATCTCAGCTACTTCCATGTCAGCAATCAAAACTCAGAAAAGAGGTAATCAATTAATCAGAGGAACCCGCAAAGATTATAGAAGGCTATGTCACCAACTACAAATATCAAGAAATCTTCACACCAAAATCTTCAATCTAGAAAACAGATGTTTTCTTCTTCCCCACAATATCCACCAAGGAAAAGATAGACAGTGCTCGTCAGCAATAAGACCAAAAAAGCTGCTACGAAATTCGTGGGCAAGCAGTAAAATTATTCACTTCTGACTCCAGAGAAAAAGCTCATTGAGAGGATTATCTTCTGCAGACCTTTATGCATATTAATGCATCTTCGGCGATCGGCAGCCAAACAGAAGTTTCTAGGTCAAAAAGTAGGGCTTAATTAATCACACTGATCTTTCTGAAGCTCATTCTCATAATACTCCAAATCAATATTGTAAGGACTACAAGATTAAACATATTGACGAAAATTTTCAGTATAGAGACCTCGGGAGGTTGCTTTGATCAAAATGGAAGCCTTCTTAAATGTAACCAACCCTGTGAGTCCGCAGTATTCTATATTCCCCAAGCAGAAAAAGAAATGAAAACTCAACACCGTGTTCAATAATGCTACAAAAACTCCACTGACCACCCAATTCTAAAGCGAAATGTCTCTCCTAACACATATCCATTCAATGGGGCGCCATCATAAAGAGAAGATTAGAGACCAACAATAGGAGAAGAAGAACGACGACAGAACTTAGAAAGGCGTCCGTTGGACGGCACGCAATATAACCCGAGAACATGTTATAAACATCAAGTCCATGGCATTACCTTCCACGTTGGCGAAAACCCTAGCGAGCGGATGAAACAGCACGATCAGCCACACGAGCCCTGACGCTATGATCTGTTGCCATGTCGCCTCCATTTGCACCCACCCCCTCCGGATTCTCCGTTGATTACTCCACCAACAGTGCCCCCAGATCCATCAACACCCCTACTCAGGAACCAACTCCTAGAGAGGCATGATACAACGAAACCCTAACGTCTGGAGCTGAAACAATCTGAATCACCTAGCCCTCCCCACGCTACCCCGCAGCCCGCCCCAAATCTGGCACCGATTCCAGCAAACGCCAGACGAATTTACCGACAGGAGAAAAATACAGAGAAGATCCCGGCACAATCAAATCTCGTACGGAGGAAGAAAAAAAAGAAAAACGCCGCCACCTACACCGCCTCCTCTTCTGCTGGCTCTCTTTTCTCCGCCCTCTCTTTCTCTAGAAACCCTCCCCACTCCCGTATTGCACTCTGAGATAGCTTTTTGTTGTCTTTCTGGACGATCTCCGAAGGGAGAGAGAGGGAGAGAAACTAGCGCCTAGAGAGAGAAACAGGGTGGGATTGCAGGCGGAGGAGAGAGAGTGGGGTATGCTATCGTACGCCGGTCGCGGGTAAGCTCCCCGCTGCCCGCTGCCCGCGGTCAAATCCTACCCAGAGACAATAAAAATGATAAGAAAAAACGGGCATGACCTAACGCCGGGTCCCGGCCTCCTCGGTCATCCATTTCCGGGCCCACAAAACCTCATATAGTCAACGGTCAGCATTTGCTGCCGGGGGGAGCCACCCCGCGTCCCGCTTTGCCCCCTCTTCAGTCAATCAACGGGTGCTCCCAGTCCAGCCGATCTGCTCCTCCGCCGCTATCACTGTCCAATTACTTCGTCAGGGCACCCATTGAACGCCGGTCGCCCAGCGGTGACATCACCGTTGTTGGGGGGCCGATACCGACGACTATGTTGGGGAACATTGACTAAGGGGTGGGCCCCTCAGCTCGAGATCAGCCCGTCGGACATTCCGTAGTGGCGCCGGAAAGACCCCGACCTTTTTGCGCCACCCGCTACACGCGTGGGGGTGGGGGTGGAAAGACCCACTCCAGAGCCGGCCACGTGTCACATATGGGGCCCACAACCTCCTGTCTTCTGCCGAGCCGCAACGGGCTGTCCTGCTGGGTGTGATTATATCGCAAACGGCGGTCCCAGCGGAGTGGGATTTTGACCAGAGCCAGTTGGTCAAAGGGAGTGCATTTTAAGAAACTCTCAGAGATCGTCTGCTAACCTGCACGCATGCATCATAAAGAAACCAAGCTGCGCATTTTAAGTCTGGAAGTATCGACTGCCCCTCTCTCTCTGACACATATTTTCTCTCTCTCTCTCTCTCTCTCTCTCTGTGCTTCTCTCTCTGGACCGCGATCAACGGGTAGCGTGGACTTTCGAAGAGGAAACTCGCTCGGTCACGATGGAGATCGCCAATTAAGTCACCGGGTTGACGATTTTAATCCATCGGAGACGATGAGACTCCTCTGAGTCGGCTTCCGACCGATCCAACCCGGTTCTAAACTAAAGACATCGTATATCCGTCTATTGGGCCAGTCCGATTCCACCCGGCCCGACGGCGAGCTAGGGGAGACAGACAGACAGAAAGACAGACAGACAGACAGACAGACAGACAGACAGACAGAGGGCCCAAACTTCTACAACGCCGCTATTGGCCCGAACAGTGTAACTGGAAAAAACAGAGGGGTTTTCAGTAATTTTCAATCAGATTACCCATTCACCCAGTGATGATGCAGTTCTTCAGTCATATTTACACTGAAGTTTGGAAAAAAAAACAAACGTTCAATAAAAGTATCAAAACCCTAAGCACCTAGTTTCCTTATTAAGCTGCAGGTCACTCCCTCCACTTACAAGAGGCAATCATTGTTCATCAATGGTCACCATGACTCAGTGTTATTAAGCGACCATGAATCCAAGGCTTCCCTTCTCCAATCATTGTTCATCACCATGAATCCCTCCTGAATCTGCCCAAACCTCAGAAAAAAATCCGTATACGACGAAAAGTATCAAAATTATAAGCACCCATATCTACCCAACTGAGATGCAGTTCATAACAATGAACTGTTCTCTAAATCAGTGTTCATCACCGTTAATATCTCTTTAATCTGCCCAAACTCAGACAAAAACCTGTACACGATGAAAAGTATCAAAATCCATCTACCCAATGGAGATGCAGTTCATTGTGACCATTGGGTAGATGGATTTTGATACTTAAAGAAACCTGTAAATAATGAAAAATATTAAAAGCCTAAGCGCCCATCTACCCAATCGAGCTGTAGTTCATTGCATCCATTTTGAGCAGATAATGGCAACTGCTCTCTAATCAGTGTTCATCACCACGATTACGTTTTAAGTCTGCCCATACTCCTTGGCACCCATCAACCCGATTGAGATGCAGTTCACTGCCTCCATTTAATAAGAGAGCACAGCTTCTGTTCTCTAATCATTGTTCATCGCCATGATCAAATGCTTTGAATCCAGCCAAAATTTGAAAGTAAAGCTGTTTACGATGAAAAACATTTGAATCGCAAGTAGGCATTTGCCAAATGATGATGGGGTTCACATCTTCAAGTTGGAGGAACCGAGTCACTGTCATCAGACTCAATCTGCCGAAAAAGCTGTGAATGATAATAATTGCATGAGTTATTTCCTTCTTCACGTTCATGCGCATGAGAATGATTCCCATCATTTTATCTTTGGCCAGAATCTCATAATATGGATCTTCTAAGAGTAAAAGAAGACTGGGAGATTATGAATCCAGGGGAAAGATACGTCTTCAAGGAGAAAATGGAGCAATCCGAATTCAATACAGAAATAACAGCATAGATTACGGAAATTGGTACTATCTAGCAGATATGCACGTTCAGATTTCGGCATTCTCAAAACCATTGCAAGCAAACTCAGGAAAAAAAAACCTCTTCAGATGCAGGAACGATAAAATAGTAGAGATGAGCGAAGTCTGTGACAACTGACTATCCCAAAGGGGATAACTGATGATCCCAAAGAGAATGAAGAACTGCTTTCAAAAAGTGGGAGAAATGGCGGTGGATGATCATAAAATGTGCATGATCCAGAGGGAAGAAATAAGCAATGGTGATTGGTGTTCCACAGCATCGCCCAATGCAAATTCAACAACGAAAATCATTGATGATTTTCGAAAACGCAGCGTTCTCTATGAAAAAATGTGTCATTTAAAGGCAAAAGCCCATCCAGAATTAGTGTACTACAGAAGTAATCGATGAAAAATCACAAAGGCATTCATCAGAGATTGAAGATGATAAGCATCGAGAGAAAGCATAGATGACCGTCCGCTTATACCTTTGCAGTGGATCTGAAACTCTCTGCATTGGATGCATGCACTGGCTTCTAAAGTTGTGCCAGGTCACCATTGCGGACGATATCATTAGCATCTTTCCAATTATCAGCGAACAACGATGAACCATATCTTAATAGAATGCCCAAACAGAAGCAAGAGAGGGTGAAACCTGCCTTAATGAGATCGTGACGGATGAGTAACCTAAAACGGGATAACAGCTTGGGAACGAAAAATAATTATCACGTGTATAGAGGAAATCTGGATTTAGATGGACAAAAAGCAGATAAAAATCTGTTCGATGCTCAGGACTAATCTGATATTAAAGATACGAAGTTCACTCTTATCCTTACAACAAATAAAAAAAGCTTCATTCGCTGAGTGAGACAGATCAGGCAGTGAGGACAACGGCACCCCCGGCCTCCTTAATCTTCTTCTCGGCGTTCTTCGAGATCAGCTTGGCCTTGACAACAATCGGCTGCGACGGAGGGAGTGCTCCCTTGCCGAGGACCTTGAAGTATCCAAACTGCGTGACGTCAATGAGCGGGGCGGCAGATCCGTCGGCCTTGGCCTTGGCCTTCACGTCCTCGGGAACTAGAGACCAGAGGCGCTCGACGTTCACCGTGGGGCAGAAGAACTTGTTCCGCAGCTTGTGGAAGTAGCGCATGCCGACCTTGCCGAAATACCCCGGGTGGTACTTGTCGAAGAGGATTCGGTGGTGGTGCAAACCTCCAGCGTTACCTCTCCCTCCGGGGTGCTTTCGATGCTTACCGACCCGGCCATGGCCGGCGCTCACATGCCCCCTCTTCTTCCTGTTCTTCCTGAGACGGGTCGTCATCTCCGCCGCCCCCTCTGCTTCGCCTGAACTATGCTGACAGCTGCCGGAGGAGCCATCGTATATATAGTAGGCAGGCGGCTAGGGTTTTGCGGCTCCCCCCACTCGGCCTCTCCTGAAAATGGGCCATCCCTATAGTGAGAAAATATAATAAGTCCAATAAAGGCCCAAAGCATCCTGCTTGCACGTAATTAGACCAGGGAAAGTTGGACCGGCCCAATAAAATCCCCCACCTACGATTGTCAATTTCACCTGCACTGTTGAGATCCACATGACAAGGGGCGTCAAGAATCTCGTATACTGAGGCACCTCAGCCCGGGCAATTTTCCAGTGGGTTGCCCAATATTTATATATATATATACCAGTATAAGAAAGGAATAATATTTTTTCTCGTGATATAAATCTAATTTAATTTTTATATTATCTGGGTGATTTAATTTAATAAACCCCATTGTTCAGAAAAGCACACTTTGGGGGAGTAAACTAGTAGTCATAGAAATAACCCACTTTCTTAGCTTGTATGTGGTCACAAAAGGCACCAAAGCTCTCCTCTCTAGAAGCATTATATTATTCCAAAATTATTTTGAAATTATATAAATGTTTAGTGCCTTTAGCTCTTGTTGACAACAGGGGTGTGGTGGAGTCTAGCCATGGGTGGAGGGAGCTCCATGGGGAGCTGGTATAGGGATTGATGCACTTTTGCTAAGATTTTGATCACATTGTGAAGGATTTTCTCACTGTGTTGGGTCTTCCAAGCAAATTTCTTCTGGGCAATCATTTTTTTGCTTCATTTTCTTATTTGTTCTTTCCTACATGTCGTGAATACTAATGTATATGGATTTTTGAGAGGTAAAGGGGTTTGTTTGTGTGGATTAACAATTTTTCTATTATCTATTTGCTTGAAGAATTAAAAAAATGTTTTTATTTGACAAGATGACCACATTAGTTGAGATTGACGTTGGCACTACTAGTGACTACATTTCAATAGTTGATGATGAGCTAGTTTCTATCTTTGTAAATTCTCTCAAATTTAGGAGTGTGCTCTTATTTGGATTTATACTTTGGATATATTGACAAGTAGTAGCATGTGTAATTGGTCTACAATGTATTAGAATTTTGATTGCACTCTCTATTAGCTTATATTTATGCCTATTCTAATTAACTACTTGTCTAGTGATAAGTCTTCATTATCATGAGTTAATAATTAGTAAATAATATAGTTTTAGCCTTAACTCATGATAAATAGACTTATATTTGTGTTAAAGTATGATTTGTGATTTTCAATTGACTAACGTGAATTTTTAGGTAATTATATAATTTTATATAATTTTTATAGTCTTACTTTTGAGATAAATAAATAACTAAAAATAAAAATAAAAATATTATAAAATAGGGGGACCCACCAGCCAACCGGGCCCGCAAGTGGGTTAGAAGCGCAGTCGGGGAGTAGCCGCGAGCAAGGGCTCGAGCGGCTTGGCTTGGACTAATAGGGGCACGTGTGCACCACTCCCTTTCTATGTCACCAGTGGCCAACTAGCTGTGGGGCAAGGAGTGGTCGTACACGTAAGAGTAGTGACTTTGCTTACAAAGCTAACATTACTATATATTCGCCTGAAAAATCGGCACACAACCGATGTGGGACTAAACTTGTGTCACACCTTCCTTAGAGGTGGGCGACCAGTGAAACTTCGAATCCTCCTAAAGTCAAAATTCATATAGTTTTATCTAATTATCGCAGCTTTCCTACAGATCGCTGGTGAAGGATTAAGCAACGAGAATCATTAGATCATCGGCAAAAATCTCGTCAATGCGATTCGCGAAGCATTACTACTAAAATTGTTGAATGATTCGCAATAAAAGGATTGCAATCCATCGAGTAAATCATCTTGATTGATCGACGAACAAGCCATCGTCGGGAAGAGGACAATCCACCGGGAGACAAGTCGCCACCTCCTGAGAGCATACTAGATGCGATGAAGAGCCTCCTCTTACTGCGCGGACCTGAGGATGAAGCTCCCTAACACATGTACCACCTCCATCCAGCTCCTCTCTATCGGGTGACAGCCGCCGGAGAGCTGCAAAGTCACTGTTTTTCTGCTCTACCGGGTGACAGCTGCTGGAGATGACTCAACGACCCATTTCATTAATCTTTAGACTTCACGAGAAGATCTAGAGATTGTCTATGTCGTCTTTGTCTAAGGAGAGACTTCAAGGCCGTGGACACTACACGACAATCCTCTCGAACACTTAAGATTCCGATGTATTGCCGACGCATCACTACCGCGATGTTGAAACTCTGTTTTCCTACTTTCAAATTACTTTACGCTTCATTTAGTGATAATTTTTATATTTTTAATTTACCACAATATACTTTGTTCTATTACGATTCTTCCGGTTTTTACAGATCTTAATTTGATTAATTAAATCATCTATAATCACTTACGTAAGAATCGCTAAGCGGAACTCTATTTCTGCCCAATTCGTGTTCGCCAGGCACTGACGTCATCTTGATGTTTGCACCCTTATTTCCTTTTTTCGTGAATTTTAAATATATTTCCTTTTTAATTCTTAGTATAAAATTCATAGAAAATCGTATTCTTTGAGAAAAATTCTGAATAATTACTAGATATTATATTAGATCCCTATGACCGACCTAGAAAATTACTATTATTTTTGAAAGTTTTATTGAATTATAATTGATATATTTATTTAGACATACTTCTAAATATCTGAAAATTCATATTTTCTAGTTTTATAAATTTTATATTTGCATGATTTAATATACAACGACTAAGTCACGTCATCTAGGTTATTTAGTTTTTACATTATTCTATTCATCCAAAGTAGCTAATTTCAAGATAAGTACCTTTGTTTTACAAATAGGCTTATAGAATTATGAATTTGTTTAGATTATTAGCTTTTAGTCTGAGAGTATAATTTATTATTCTATCTAAAAATGATTGAAATTCCCAATGTAATCATAATCCATCATTTGATATTATCTCTCTCTCTCTCTTTCTCATGAAAGAGACATATGGGGGGAGAGTGAGAGAGAAATGGAGACGATAAAATGATAAAAGAGAGGAAGAGGGATTGGTGGAGAGTTCTAGTAGCAAAACAAGATGGGTACCACATATAGGAAGATTGGGCATTGGGGAGCACCACCGCCTGTGTGCCCTAAGGCCGCCACGTGGCTTGCTGCACGTGCCCACTAGTGCACCCTTCAGCCCACCATCAAGCCCACGCCTGCTAGCATGCCCTTCGGTCCACTAGCGGGCCCACACTTGCACCGTCCATGCCATGCCTTACGACGACAGCTACTGTGACTCTCAACTAGGATCGACTGTCAACGCTGAGCATTGCTCTTCACCAGACGTCTATGCCTTCATTGAATCTCTGCTCCATCATGACCCACTGGGCTATGCAACCCCAAAGGTTAGCCCCGTACCCCTTCTTACTTAAGTTTAATTACCTTTCGAAGGGTTTTCTCGACACATCTCCATCGCCATCAGGAGGACATAGACCGGATAGGATGGTTATCAGATTGTGACCTCTGATGCTACACCAGATTCATCACCGTTCGTGAGTTGCAGCCCTAGGCTACCTCACGACGATCGTTCCGCCATCTACTCAGACGTGGACCGAGAGGGCCTCACACTTACCATCGTCGAGTGTTTCTTGGGGTTGCTCTAGGTTGATCCTGCATATTGGTATGCCTGCTTGTACTTAGGTTACGTGGTTAGACCTAAAGTCTAGGGTCCATACATTCTAATCGGATTAGTTCGACTACCCCATCTTGAGTAGTGAGTTTCATTGATTAGGTACAAGGGTTCTTGCCCCGTCCTGCATCAAGTATATTATATGCAATGAATAATCTCCTCTTACTATGCAAACCTGATGATGAAGCTCCCAAAGATGTGCCATGGCTCTATCTAATTCATCTTTGTCAAATGATAGTTGCTGAAGATCCGTAGACTCACTATTTTTTCACTATGTTCAGTGACAATTGTTGGAGATGATTCATCAACCTACTTCATTGATTTTTAGATTTTGCAAGAAGATCTAGAGATTGCTCACATCATCTATGTCTAAATAAAACCTTTGAGGCTATAAATATTATATAATAATCCTCTTGAACAAAGAATTTCGATGATCACTATTGTGAGACTGAAACTCTACCTTTCTTACTTTCGACTTAATTTTTACTTAATTTAGTGATATCTTAAGTGATTTCAAATTTCAAAACTCTTCTTCATTAAATTACAATTCTTATAAATTTTATATAACTTAGTTTGATTAATAAAATCTTCTATAATCACTTACATAAGAATTACCAAACATAATTCTATTTTTGCCTAATTTGCATTCATTGGGTCATAATTACTCTAAAACATTACAATTAAAGAGTGTCAAAAATAAAATTTATGATGTTTAGATGTCTTCCTAATGATACTAATGAGTATAGTTTAAGGAATATCCAAGTTAAACCACTAGGAGTTGTCCAAACTAAGGTGAGATTTAACTTCTAATCAACATTTCTTTTTGGGAGAAGGGATTTTTGCTAAAGAACTATAGCTTTAGTTTATATTCGGCATATCTTTTGAAATATTTATGATGTGGGACTAAATTTTTTCATCTATTTCAACACAGCCATCAGAAGCGTGGTGCGATCTAGGGATATGCAAAGAGCCACATCATCCAGTTAGCCTGATCCTATGGCTAGTGAACCGCCACAATACCAAATGCGTAAAGTGATCCATTGATGGTTCACAAATCTAATGCTGCTCAGCATGCACATGGCCTTAAAGGCTGATCCAACGACTATGGAGGCACCACGATATTGGAACTTAAGTTCCCAATTAGTAGCGGTTCGTAGCGGGTTGATCCTACTTCACTTCAAGTGCCACGTGACAAAGCTCATTTGATCTAGTGGCTTGCGAAGTGCCACAATACTAGGAATTTAAGTTCTCACACATCTCACTATTAGGGACATAAAGATAATA